CTTGCTGAAGGGTGAGGACAACTGGGACTGCTGGTCGCACTTTGTCCGGAATGTCCTTCAAGCTAAAAAGAATGATCTAGATCGGAACATAGTCTAGATTTGATAAGAAATAAACGGCTAGACACGGCGTAAGCCCCTCGGGCGTAGGCAAACTCGGCCTAGTTCTGATGAAGTGCGACAAGTGTTCCCAGGCTAGTGTCCGAAGAGTAGAGGAGGTTTTTAGTGGGTAGTCTCTGGGCCTTAAGCCCGTTGGAGTCCCACACTACAGGCTAGCAACCTGTGTGCATAAATGCATTTTCCCACCTCTCCCTAAAAAAAAAAAAAAAAAAAAAAAAAAAAAAAAAGTCCTAGAGGGTCGCGACATTATAACATAGATAAAATCCATTGGTAATTGGCGGGATTAGAACCAGGGACCTCGGACTCTGAAGCCCCAAGATCTACCACTTGACCAACTGGCTCATCAACATTTAGATAGTGAAGCAGACTTATCATCTATCTATATCGCGTCTTTCCCCATATCTTAAGCGATTTTTTAAAAGAACATGGTTGAATGATCCGATAACAGATAGAGATTGAGACCATTATATTGTATTATTAAATTATAATTTATATATTAGGGAAGTTAGCTATTGCCGTAGGTGGCACGGTAAGACCCAGGCCCAGGACCGATATACTTTTTATTTTTATGTCCCAAGAGGTCAAAAACACTATTAGATAATTTTTTTCGTGGATAAAATATCTCAAGTAATTTTGGTCCGACTTTGATGAAGTTTGTCTTGAAGGTGTAGGGCGGGATACACTTGAATGAGTTTGCAAACCAGCAAGATCGGGTAATGAGAATGGGGTACTTAAGGATTTTCAAATCTAAAATATTTTTTTATCTTTACCATTAAAACGTGGAAATGCCCAATTTGCATTGCATCGACCGTGTATAGCGTAAAAAACAAATAGTTTTGTAGTATGGAGTCGTTGCTGTTATTTAAAAGTTACGGAGAAAGAAAAAACTGCACATTTAAAATGTTTATGTAATTCTTTGGGAGGAAAATAACTTTTGCAGTTTGCTATGAATATATATAAAATTTAGAAAATTTATTTATTTCATCCTGTACAATTTCTACTATTTGGTTAAAATAATAACCTCCCGGTAGGATCAAACCTAAGTATTCGTTAAGTCTAATATTATTTAAATTAGATAACATCGCCGGGTAGTGAGCTGGTGTAGTGGTTATAGAGCACGGGACTTCGGTCCCTTCGGTCCCGGGTTCAAATCCCACCAATCACCAATGGATTTTTTCTAAGTAATAATGCCGCAACCCATTTGTCTAGCCTTAAGTAATGTGAAAAACAATCCCGGGCTCGTGACTAGCGTATTAGCACAACAAAAAATTTTATTTAAAAGGGAATAAATATGATTTGTTTATGGAAATATTGTAGTAAATAATATACAACCAGAAAAATTAGAATCCGCTTAGTCTGCAGGTTTTCTGTGGTGGGGTATTTTTGTTTCTGTATTGGATATAAGTCTTTTCAGATTCATTTTATAACCACTAATCGTATTCAGCAGAAATCAGTAATTAATATGAGGTCATGTTAGTGGCTCATTTCAACAACTTATTCTAAAGCTGGCCACAACCTTAACATTGGAACGGAAACTATAGTTGTATTGAAGGCCAAAAGCACTAAACTTCTGAACCTCACATTGGAATTTGTTTTTGCATCATAGGTAGTCCTTAACTGTTCATTAGGTTGTCTATGTAGCCGAGGGGTTATAGCACTCGCCCTCAAATCTGATGGTCGCCGCTCTGAATCCAAGCGAGATTAGTTCGGACCTCTCCTTTAGAAATTTAAAATACATACCTCAAATCACACAACAAATATCCTAAAAGACAGAATAAAGTTAAAATGCACCAACTTGTCAAACAAATGATACTTGAATCTAATTAAAGTCTGCGTCACTACCCTAGCGGTCAATAGTTCGATGTAGGAAAGTCTTCTGTGATCCCGCCAGTCAGACTAGTCGTAGGAGGTTGGCTATGTTGGTCTGGCCGATATTCTGCCATTGTTAACAATTTCGTAACCCACTCGACCCGGACCGCCGCCATATATGCTGCCTCACCTAAACATTACACTGATCTGTCAACTTGATAAGAAAATAGTGGCCTATGATTGGGGGTATGTCACTCTCTTGGGTCAACTACTTGCACATTTTAATAAATCATTCAATTTTCCCTCTTAAGTTGATTTCTTTTTTGGATGGATTCTGTCATTGATTTTGGTATCAAACGAGCATTCAGGTTATGTAAACCACCAACACAGGTAGCAAATAATTAAAAAAATATATTCTCAAAGTGTGGCTAATGATGATCCTTAATTGGATGTATTTAATTAATATGTATGTATGTTACAGTTTTTATGATAGTATAAGTAATGTTGAACATCGGTTGCCCACTTTAAAAATATGCATTATTTAAGTACATGTACCTAACACAGGAATTTCCTGTCAATTTTGTGTAGATCAAGGCTTTTTATGAAGTATAAAGGAATCCCTCACTAATTACAAATGCAAAAACTGTTTGATAAACAAGATAGTGTCATTTGGATAAACTAGTGTGTTCTTCAAATAGTACGGCACGATATCGAGTTCTTGTATGTCTTACCATACAAGAACTCGATATCGTAGTAAAGAATTTTCTACCACTAAGTTCATTGAAGACCTGAACAATGTAATTTCCAAGAAAACAATGGTACAACCCGCCATGAATGGAACATTTAGTTATAGTTGCAAAGTCAAGAACTAAACTAAATATTCCGAAACTTCTCCAAAATAATGACGAAAAGAATGACCAATTTCTGAATGAAACCTAGACGGCTAAGGCCAATGAAGCATTGTGGACCGATGTAAGACAACACCTAGAGAGTTTTTGTTTTGTGGCACAAATCTACTCGGTCCAACCACTTTTTATCAAAGCCAATGGAATAGGACACATTCAAAACTGCAAAACTCATAGTGGTATTTTCACTAGATTGTATTGTAATTTCGTCATATTTTGAGGAGCATAATGTTCATCGAATTAAAATGAGTATGCAGGTTTATTGCTAACATTGCTCAAATAACACACGTTTTAGCAAAACAAGGTTTATTTTATATGAAAAAAAAAACACCAAAACGCAATTTTTATCTTAAATGAATTTGATATTTTTTAGCACGACATTACATTAATTTATAAATAGTATTATTAACTTTTTATATATCTACTTATTGGTGATATTATAAAGCGTACTGTAGCTGAAGTTCCTGATTTGAATTCGTGGTGGCCCAAGAAACACTTTACAAAAGTGGCGAAACCATAGACCTACATTAAGTGCAAAAAATCTGTCATGCGGGAGCATGTGTTTTTGCAAGAATCTTTTGTAAACCTGCTGACAGGTTTGCCGCGCTATATATCATATTTCAGGGATTAAACCCACACTAATGCACTTGATTTGGGTCAAGGTTCAACAACGTTCGGGAGTGTAGTTTTCATTGTTTGTAAAACAGATAATGTACAGTTAAACTACAGGAACTCACTTCATTTGGTAATCTATTAGACGACCACAGGACATTCAAAATCGATATTTTATAATTAATGAAAAACTCAAAAACAAAGAAAACAGTGTAGCTTGCGAATGTATACAGATTTTATAATGGAGTTTTTTTTCAGTTTAAACTGTGTTAAACGAATTCTCAAAGGTAGTCAAATATAGTATGGGGTCATAATACCTCTCCATATTTACCATGTCCATGCGTATGAAGTATAATTAAAAGAATGTTCAACACTTTTGACTTTTCAATCTGTCTAATGATCGTTGCATTTAATTTACTCCTGTGTTTATCAGCAGCGGGTTTCCTGACCATACAGGTGGTCAACATAAACTAGGTGGTTTGAAATAAATGTTCACAGCTTTGAAATAATTTATCGTTAAAATATTTTTCCTGATATGGCGTGCCTTGATACATAAACCAGAGCCTTCTAAATTTTAGGAAATTAGTAATAAAATGGCGACAGAGTATTGCAATAGTGTTATCGTTTCTAGTTTAAGACTGTATGTACAGCAGTTTAGACTTATTTCATAATATTAAGATATTCAAAAGAGAAAAAAACTGCTCTGTTCACTTACGAGGCATTCGTTTTACTTGTTAGACGGACCTATAGCTTAATATTGTTTTCTTAACAATCACATAACCCCCAAGCACAGAAAACGTACTACTATAACCCAGAATGCCAACCGCATGGTAAAAAGCATTAAGCGGTTTGAGAGAGCTTTGCCTGTCAATCCGTAGGCAGCGCCACCAGCGTTGCCATGCAATAGCCTACGGATTGACAGGCAAAGCTCTCTCAAACCGCTTAATGCTTTTTACCATGCGGTTGGCATTCTGGGTTATAGTAGTACGTTTTCTGTGCCCCCAAGTAACAATTCCCCAAAGGTAAGCGGGTTTCGAACCTGAGATTCTAGAAGCTTAAACTTAGATTCCCAATACTTAAACACATAATTTTGAAAGGAATATATACAATACTGTGTACGTTGAGTTGATCAAATTCAAGAGTAGTTTTACCAATATTATCCAATCACGTAAATAAATTTATACAAATATTACATCAGAAAGAAGTGACGAACAATTATAACACTCGAGAACATTTTATTCCGAACAATTAATTTACATATTGCTACACCTCGTTAACACTGACATAAATCATCAGGAAAATCACACTTGTCACCACCTGATAAATGACCAAATCGGACTCTAAACAGGAGCGATTTCTCCATAAATATTAATCAAAGTTATCAATGAAATGACAAATGCCCAATCGGGAAGTGTGCAAATTCAAGTTGGCAAAAATTGGCAAGAGGCTGGATGGAGCAATTATCCAACCGTTATCAGATGTGCATAGGGCGGGGTTGTGGTGGGGGGATGGGCGCCCCCTATATATTGTATGGTCCTCTACAGGCAAAGTCAGTCACACCAACATTCCAGTCATGGCACTTCAGGTGAGTCTAGCCTTTGTCCAAATAGTCCTTACAAATGGTCCTTTGTAAACACGTGGTCTGAGCGAGAGTGTTAGTTAAGTAACCTAGGAGTGAAATTTGCAAGTGGTTCCTATGAGTTTAGGGTTTTGACTCTTTTTAGTGTGTTGGGACTTGTGCACCATCGGTTTTGGTCTGTTCAAAAATTTATTTTGGATTTGTTTAAAATGTTTCAATATGGTTTATAGGTGAAACAAATAAAATCAAACTTTAAAATCTGATTCAAAATGTATTATAAAAGTAGAAATTTTGTAAAAGTGAAAGATAGCTAGAAACATTGGATTAAAGGGCGTTACTAGGATGGCAAAGATTTCATGTTGAATAACAATCATAAAGCAGCATAAAGATAAAGTATTAATTAGTTTGTTAAAACTTTAAAATATCAAAACGTACAAGTAACGTGTTTATCTTACAGTAAAGTAGATCATTTTTTTAAATAATGATTTATATACGAAAATTGATCCAAGTGACTTGATTTAGCCTGAACTCTTCTTGGAAATGGCAATAAAACATTAACATTTTTATGAATAATTTATATATTTTTATATTTTAAACCATATTAAATTCAAGTTATTTCCAGGCAGGTGAAAAATAAATTTAAAATATTAACTACCTCAAACTTGGTTATTTTATGCAAACAAAGAAAGATCAATTAAAATATAACACTCACGCCTTCAGTTACATAAAGATTTAAACTAACTATGATTGGGCAGGACAAGAGGTACAATAAACAAATCGTTGATAATATTGATTAAAGAATGTAGAAATTTCCAAAATGCGTAAAAACTGAGCAGAAAATATAACAAGATAAATAGTTAGAATTGTGATAGAAAATTATGATTAATTAACGAAATAAAATCTGTAACTTGACAGTTATTCAATTAATACTGTAGAAAACTTAAGTAAACAGTAAATAACAAATTCTTGAGTAAGATCATGTATGAACCTGCTAAAATAACCAACATGAACTTCGATTGCCTATTTACAGCCACGAAAAAATGTTTTAATCATAAATTGTACGTGCGATTGAGGAAATATTTTCATATGGATAACTTTAGAGTATTATATTTACATTTTTGTCACTTAACTCATAAGAATAGGTATAGTGAACATTTGTAAATATAGGATAAGAAATATAACTAGCACTTCCCTTAAACATAGAAACCGTAAAAAACATAACTGAATATTACATGTGAACATGGATAATAATAACACTGGGGTTGTCACTAATTGTCACGGGCTTAATTTAATTTACAACAGCTTTTGGTTTATAAAATACACTCGTTATTTTGAATATAATTTTGATGAAGTTGTTTGTGAAATGTAAAAATCAAATAAATATTAAAGCTTCATTTCAAGAATCTATCTTTTTTTGTATTCTAACCAAATGCAGATTTCTCTTATCTATGAATTGTACTAAGCATAGTTTGTACGGACTTAATTGAAATAATATTCCTTGCTACTTGAACATTGTTACTTTACATTAATCTAACACAGAGTCTATAATATATTTGAACAATGTTACACTGAAATCTCAAATTGCAGGTTTTGTACGTGTGTTTGCCATTACTAAGTCCAACCATAAATAAGTACAACTTGGCATTTGTATTGTGAAAAAATTCAAATTACACAGAAGTACAATAAACGTTGATTCATTATGATTCTTGAAAGATATTTAAATACATTGAAATCTAGCAAATTAAAACGGTGACAACTCCATTTTCATTATTAGGCCATCATGATATGATAAGGCCAACTCTTTCTTTTTTTACATTTTGATGGGCAATGCCAGTTCCCGCGGCTTTTTTGCTACTTGCTCCAGATTTAAATGTGGAACCAGTTCGCATCAACACCCATCAGTCACCATTGACGGATCGACAACCTTACAACGACCATGTTATGTAAATCAGACAACACTTTATCACTAGAAGCTCGCATATTGTGAAATGAAATGGATGTGAGACTTACTTTTTATCCAGCGGACTGATAAATTTATGTTTTAACAAGTTATTTGCTTTACTGTGCATTAAAAGTTGGACGGAAACAACAAACGATTTGCTACATTTATTTTTGTTTATTTGTTAATTGGATTCAATAACATTTACTACATACTTGAGCTATTCAGGAAATGTCCATGCTTCACAAATATCTAGTGTGTACTGAAGAAGAATTTAAGTTTAATTTACCTACGGTATCAAAAAAATGTATACATATCTTTTTGCAACCTTTATTTTTCAACAATGTAAAAAGGACAATAATGTGAATGACCATTATGAGTTGCACAAGTTTAAAAATGTAGTACAGTATTCACTATAACGGAAAAATTGAAAGTAATTTTAAATTTCGTGTATGACAGGTTTAAAACAATTTGTTTTAAATAGTTTCAACTAAAAAATATAATTGTAAAATAAAGTATCAATATCACCCTACAATCATGTAAATGGAACTGATTCGGAGTCTAACTGGAGCAGTTGTAACACGGGAATCCCCGACTGGGTGTTGCCCTGATCAACATACACCTTAGTCACCAGGACATAATAGGAAGTGAGCCAAACCATAGTGGGCTTTGGGCCTACTAAACTACCATCTAGGTGGGCATTCTAAATGCAGACCTAATTATAGGTGGCAAACCATCCAAGTGTGTGTGTGTGTCTGTGTTGTGTATTACACTATGTGTGTGAGAGTGAGAGTGTTCACCAATGAATGACGAGCCCACCACTCTCCCCGTGGGTTCTGGACGACTGATGACCCATTATATTCAATCGCCAGCACGTAACAACATTGTAACTCATTTAGACCACTTGGCACGCGTTCAGCCACTCACAAACACAAGTCTGGAGAGGAATTTCTAAAGTGACGTTTGTACCAGTCAACAATGAGGGTTTGGAATTTCTTTGATCTGCAACGGCGAATGATTGTAAAATTAAAACTGATCAAAGCAGAATTTGAAGCTATGTTTGTGCAAGTTTATCAGAACAAACTGAACGGAAAAACTTGGAGTGAAAAAATTAAAACATCTCGCGTCGGTTTGTACAACTGCATGTGTCTCTGTATTGACTAAAGTTTTTGTTGCAGCTTGTCCTTCTCGCTATCTTGGTAGCCGGCTCTCAGGCTGCACCCCAGCTGTACGCCGCTAAGGCCTACGCCCCCGCCTACGTGGCTCACGCCCCAGTAGTGGCCCATGCCCCAGTCGTCGCCCACGCCGCCCCAGTTGCCGCCAAAGTTGAAGAGTACGACCCCCACCCCCAGTACTCCTTCGCCTACGATGTGCAGGACGCTCTGACCGGAGACAACAAGAACCAGCACGAGACCCGTGACGGAGACGTTGTCCAGGGATCCTACAGCCTGACTGAGCCCGACGGCACCCGCAGAACTGTCGACTACACCGCCGACCCCGTCAACGGATTCAACGCCGTCGTCCACAAGGAGCCCGCTGCCCACCCTGTTGCAGTTAAGGCTGTCGCGCCTGCCTACCATGCCCCGGTAGTGGCCCATGCCCCAGTTGTGGCCCATGCCCCAGTTGTAGCTCATGCCCCCGTCACCTACCACGCTCCCGTGGCCAGGTACGCTACCCCTGTCGCTTACCACACTTCCCCCGTCGCTTACCACTCTTCCCCCGTCACCTACCACGCCACCCCTGTGGCCTACCATGCCACCCCCGTAGCCTACCACTCCGGCCCTTATGCCTACCATGCGTCCCCCGTGGCATACCACGCACCCACTCTCTACCATCATTAACCCCCTTTGCTTTACTTCCCTAAGCCAAAGTCCTTTCGCCCATTTCTTTTTGTTCGAGTAGCTATGCACATACCTCATGCTATACTTCACGTATATTACGTGCCATGTGAAAAACTTAAAAAAATAAATAAAATGTGAATGTTCAAGTCTATTGTATTTATTGTCTTCCCATGTCATATACGTTCATGAATGTAAAATAGTTTTTCTTGTATATCTTATGATATGAGAACGTAAATTAAGCTGAAGCTGGGTTATAATCTGAAAGGAAATAATACATTTTGTGACATTTTTATGGATACGATTTAAGTAATAAATGCCACTAACGAGCTCCATTAATAAAACTTATGAATAATAAGTTTGTCAGTAAAAGATTATTCTTATAGTATTTTCAAGATGAAATGGCGTCAATCAATTTTAAAACTTTAAGCAAGTAGAGCTTAAGCCCATTGTTCACTTTACTAGATATTTTGTGACAGCATTACATTATAGAAATATAAAATCACATTTAAACAAGCTGAATGAAATTATTAAAAATTACGTTTCAAACTCAAATTAAAATTACACAACGATGCCCTCGTATACAACGATGAGACAGAATGGAAAGTGATACTTCCGAAGCAGAGTTGCCAAACTAGACAGGCCAAATAGCCCAGTCTCCCCATGTAATTGGCAGATGTTGGTAGGCATGCAGCGTGTAGCATCTCATCAATACAATTGCTGCTTACCATAAACTCATGACGTAACCCCGTAAGTAGAGACACAGTCGCTAATGTCGCAGCCATTGACATAGTTATGGATGGTAATGAGTAGGAAAGTCCGCTATGAACTATTTGAATATCGGTCTGTAATAGCATAGGTCGCATGATACATGGTTCCAGCTGTCTGTTGAAAGATGGTGTAACAGGTTACTGTATGTGGTAAAGTTATGAGGTATCTAACCAACGATGGCGAAAGTGTTTGGATTTTCGATCTCTTTACACACAATTCTTGGGAGTAATTTTTTTGTTTCCACAGATTACTTTTGATTCTGGATGCAACGGATACAAAGATTTCACTATTCAAAAACAGAATTCTTTCCTTAGAAAATGATAGGATCCTGGATCAGAAGGTCCATAATTCATTACAATGTGGGATTAGCTTATAACAAATCAAAGCAAGATATTAAAAGGTAGACACTACCAGTGGATACATGTTTCGTTTATTTCTAATTAGATAGTTTTACAGCTTCATAGGTTAGAAACAGGTCAGAGGTTTCGATAAATTTTTAAAATCCATTATTGATAAACATGAGTTTCACAACCAAAATGAGACAAGTATTTGTTCAGTTTGGCAGTCTTCAACAAATAATTTCAAACTCGACAACTTTTCATCCAGGGTTGAAAACACGTGGTTTTAATACTTTATTTGACTATTTCCCCTATATTTAATCGCAGCAAATTCACAATGATGCTTGTTTTCCAAAGCCAGAATTTTCAAAATAACCTTGGGTTGCTTCTGCGCAAGTACGAAGCATCTTGGAAAAGAAGGCGATATAAATACCGATCAATGACCATTCCTGGCACCAACTTGTTCCAACAAATTACTCAATGGACGGGTTCTCCCTTTTAGGTGACGGAATGTCAGGTCCGAGTGATGCTCCTTGGAATGTAGCCTGGCCAGTGTGACTTGTGCGAGGTATTCGTGATCTTTAGAAGGAAATACGGTCAAATGTCAGTAATAAATATGATCTCGATCATGTTTTTCTCATCTCTGATTTCATTATCATTTGCAGGCTCTATTAAACCCCACAGTCAACCCCACAGTATACACTACATGGCGAACGTAAGGGTTCATTGGTTATGGTCATGTAGGAGTAAATGTAATAGTAGATTTATAAACAATTTACTAAAGAGTGATGTTTTCTACAACCAGGCCATGTTTACCAATGCAATAGCTATGACATTCGAAGTTATAAATTAATGAGCGAAGAATAAAGTAGTGCTTGTTTTAGAATAAAGTGTAAGCCTACAATAAAAAATTATACATATTAGAGTAAATTTTGGAAAGTGACTTTGTTCTTCAAAGAATTACCGGACAATCTCGTAATCCCAGGGAAAATGCCAGGGTAATTATGCAAAATATCACAAGTCTGTGGAGTTATGAAAATACGTACAACACAATTAATGTACATTAGGCACTGTGTAGTGTGTAGTGCTGTGCAGAAATAGTGTCAAATCCCAGGAAAGCAGTTTAAACAAGAATAAAAAATTAAAAAAACACTTATTCAGACGACTGTGGCAAACAAATCGTCAGTGAAACAGTTGTTGAAACCCAACTTGGTAGGCTAGTGACTAGAAGCACCGCGCCTCCAGAACTTTAACCTCTCAAGGCTAGATTGGAAGCCTGGGGCTGTATCCACCTGTGGAGGCTACAGAGAAAGTACTGTCATGGTCACGGCTACAGTCAACTGGTAAAACCACCACGCCGCCGGCACTACAACCTTCCATCTGCAGTGTCAGGGGCAGGGTTACGTATCCGCCACTGAGCGAATAGTTTTCTATGAATTGCATTGGGAATATATATATATATAGTCAATGATAATACATATATCGGGACAACGTCAGTTACTATTTCACAGTTTTTTACTAGACGCACGTTGCGGAATAGTTGGCACCAAATCTTTCACCAAGAACATAAAATGTTGTCGCCCTCCTTACAGAAACAAGAGTAATAAAAAAACAGAGTAATATAGAAACCCTTGATGTATTTATCTACATTTGTCAGAGGAATACCTGAAAATAACGTGGTAATCATGCCACCGAATTGATAAATTATGAAAGCCTTTAAACAAACGCAAAATAATCGTGATTTTTATTACCACATTAAATGTTTTAAAACACTAAAAATGATAATGTCAAGAAACAACATACATACCTTCGACTAACACACCTAACTGTTACGTCACTCACCTGAAACGAAAAATACATAATTAAAATTACTGTTACAATATAGGTTATATACAAAATAATGTCAAAATTCTAATTTTAACTGAGTGATTGAGATAAAGTACTGTATAATATACTAGATTATATTGTCAAAATTTCACTTTCAAATTAGTAAAATCTTTACGCGTTTATGTTTAAATTATCCAAGTTGTTTTACCGCATCATAATCTAACAATCGGGTTTCACCACAAGCTGGTGAATTCTTAATACATTTCAACAAGCATATAAATATACAGATAGTTCCATTTCAAAATAAAAAAAATTTAAATCATACAAGCTGACTTATTCGTTTCTCCAACTAAACTGACTTATATTTTTATCCTTACAACTTCTCTGTATATAGTCCAGTCAATGAATGATCCAAAAGTAGGTGTAGAGTGCGTGAGCAGGTAACTAAGCGATTCCTTCAGAAACTTGTTTAGGGGGCTTAGGGTGTTAACATACCAATAGTCCTGACTCCTAGGTGGTGAGCCAGGGGGTGGAGGGGGGAAAAAGGGGGGGGGGAAAGGTACGCATTTTGGTTTTTTTTTATTATATCTCGAAAACTATCAACTTTTTGTATACTATAGTAAATTATAAAATTGAAGAAGATTAAATTTTCTACAAGAAAAGTATATAATGTGTTTATTTTGGTTCAACAGATTACGAGTTATAACTTATTTAATTGATATCTTATTAAAATACTCCTTCCATAAGAAATACATGTAAATTAGTATGCGAAATGGGGCGAATCCTATCCGCCCAAAGGAAATATAACTGATATTCTGGAAATCTTGACAAAATTTCCAGTAATTTGACAATTTAATCATGAAATTTTGTCAAAAATTAAAGCGAGGGTGAGCGTTTAAAAATGGGATGATTTAAGGTTTTTTTTTTATATTTCCAATAAAAAAAACACCAAAACTCGACATTTTGTTACCTCGCCCTCGCCTTAATTTTGGATCAATTTTAATGATTAAAGTGTCAAATTACTGGAAATTTTGTCAAGATTTCCAGAATATCATTTATATTTCCTTTTGGCGGATAGGATTCGCCCCATTTTGCATACTAATTTACATGTATTTCTTATGGAAGGAGTATTTTAATAAGATATCAATTAAATAAGTTATAACTCGTAATCTGTTGAACCAAAATAAACACATTATATACTTTTCTTGTAGAAAATTTAATCTTCTTCAATTTTATAATTTACTATAGTATACAAAAAGTTGATAGTTTTCGAGATATAATAAAAAAAAACCCAAAATGCGTACCTTTTCCCCCCTTTTTCCCCCCTCCACCCCCTGGCTCACCACCTAGGAGTCAGGACTTTTGGTATGTTAACACCCTAAGCCCCCTGAACAAGTTTCTGAAGGAATCGCTTAGTTACCTGCTCACGCACTCTACACCTCATTCCTTGACTGGACTAATAAAAACTACAGATGGATTGAATTCGAAAGCAATAAAAACGCATAGATAATGTATACAGCAATACATCATAATTGATTTGACCAGCTGCTGTATCAGTGCCCTAGATTCCCGCCTGTGTAACAGTTTTGCAGGATGTTATGTAACACCTCCACTCCATCCTCCGTTATCCTTAACCCTACACAGGATCAGGATGTGCCGAAACTTATAGCCAGGAGGTTGTTGCGGAAGTTCTACAGGTGTGAGAACTGCTGGTTGTTTTGATTACAGGGGAAGTTAGTCAATGTTGTGTTGGATAGCAGATCGATTTTTCGTTAGTTTGTTATATTTCAAGTTTATATTCCCAGTGTACTTATATGAAGACTTAATTTTGTGCATCCTTATGGGTCAGTTCAAAACAATTTTAATTTTAATGTATATTTTTGTCCGAAAAAATGCATCGTCCTTAAATATATTGCTATTTTACTTAGGCACCTTAAACTTATTTTAACAAAAAACGACTACCCGTCCCCAGGCGATGACTCTTTTAACAATACATTTGACTAAGAACGAAATATTTATCCAGCAAAAACTCTCCATGTAACACACACAAAACGTTTATATAAACAACAACAAAAACTAAGCAGTTTTTATCGTCTACAAGATCAAATATACATTTTTGATAAACAGTAAACTCCACTTTCTAGTAATCAAAAGAATGATCTCTAAAATGACGTGAATTGCTTATACAACTGATATCAAAAATGTGTGATATTTTTCGGATTAATTTTAAGATTATTTACTTGAAATCTAATTTTTGGGATTATAAAGTAGCCTAGTTGTAATAGAGTTTTTTTTTTTAACAGCACTTTTCATCATGTGTAAAGAGAAAACATAAAACACCCCTAATAAAACTTGCAGTTGAGCTTAGTAAAAAAGATTATATATAATCAATTTTCACGGCTAATATTTAGCACACAAAACAACTGTTTTTTTAGGAATAATAAATTTTAAAACTAATTTCAAAATGTAATCATCTGTAAAAAGCGTTGTTGGATTTTCGGATATTTATTTATTAAAAAACGTTCTTAAGAAGAGCGGACCGAGCTTCCAGAATCTAATACAGAGTAATTTAGGAATATAAAATATAAGAATATACTTTATAAATTGAGGGACAATTTTTAGAATATAAGTTGTTTAAAATTATTTTCTATTAGTCGTGATTGTTAAATACAATTACGTTTATTTATCCTAGGCCCTTAAAAACATAGAGGGCAAAGATTAGAAAAAATCTCCAAAGCAATGAGCATTTTTAATTGCAAGTTCATTATAATCCTATTAAATGTTACTTAAGGGTTTTAGAGTTATTCTACAAACTACGTTGGTGTTTGTACAACTTCAACAAAAAATCGTTTTCGTTAGGTCCTAATGTCAAAAATACAGTATTTTCTTTATGCACGTTAACACCACGACAAACAATAATGCAAAAATTAGCAAATATTATTCTCAGTTTCCTGCATAACCTACATAACATTTGATTATGTCAATGTTAACGTAATAAAGATACATACAAATTGGCAGATATCTATTGTGCACACGAAAATTGAAGGGAATTATACAAACCAACTTCTGAAGCAAAATGTACTCTGAGCGCCTTCATATTGGGGCGGCAATATAGACTCAGTATTTGTTTTGCCTAGGACGCCGTACCGCCAGGGAGTGAATACATTACACACAGTATTACCTTAATATTCACATTTCATAACTTTCTCTCATAGAATAGGTTTTACTAGTGTATAGTTTTTTTAACATATGAATGTCCTTGATAACGATGACATATTTTGTACACGTTAAAATAACAAAGGTCTCCACGACCAATTTGAAACATGGCACTTTATTTTTCTGTATTACTGCTTTTCAAGAGTATTTATTTTGGATAGCAAAGGATATTTGCTCAATTAAGATTGGGTATAGGAGAAATTAGGTAATCAACACAGAGTAAGGTACTTACAATTTATTTAAGTGTATTTAAAACATACACCATAATAAATAATGAGACATTTACAAATGACTGAGCAAGGTGGTATTCAGGTAACGATGACTTAACCGTAGTAAGGGGCGGCGGGGGCAACGACCTTTGGGGCGTAGTGGGCGGCGTAAGCCAGAGGGGCGGCGACCTTGGCGACGGGAGCGGCGTAGGCGACGGGGGCGGGGGCGTAGGCCTTGACAGCGACGGCGGGAGCATCCTTGTGGACGACGGCGTTGAATCCGTTGACAGGGTCAGCGGTGTAGTCGACGGTACGGACGGAACCGTCAGGCTCGACCAGGCTGTAGGATCCGGTGACGACGTCTCCGTCGCGGCTCTCGTGCTGGCTCTTGGAGTCTCCGGTCAGAGCGTCCTTGATGTCGTAGGCGTAGCTGTAAGATGGGTGAGGGTCGTACTCGTCAGCGGGGGCGGCGTAGGCAGCGGGGGCGTAGGCCTTAGCAACAACGGGGGCGTGGTAGGCGGGGGCGGCGTAGGCAACGGGGGCAGCTACCCTGGCGACAGGGGCGGCGTATGCGTGGGTGGCGTAGGCGGGGGCGGCGTAGGCCAGAGGGGCGGCGTAGCCAGCGTTGGCGGCAGCCACACAGGCGGCGAAGACGACGAACTGTGGACAACAGAAATCATGAGGAACACTTGATAAGTGAACATTAGTTTACTTGAAACATAAACAAATACTTGTGAAATATCAGCAACATGACTAGCACGCAATGTTTGATTATGTTGCTTGTAGGATGTCTTGAAACTGTATTGCAACTAGTTGCCATTATATTTCGGTTTAACATTCCTATCAAAAGCTTGGTTCTGATAGGTGAAAGCAATTCAATTTGTCACCACGCCAAGACAAATTACGTTTACACAACAGGTGCACCTTTATATGCTAATCGCATATTGAATGCGAGGCGACCATTAAATCATAGTGATGTGTGGTCCAGATGGATGAATGACTTGTCTGGTGTTTTACGACATCCGACCAGAGAATTGAGTTTGTCGTTGAGTGAAATATGTTATTGGTAGCTATGACCCAAATACTTCGATATTAGTTATATGAACCTACTGCAAATTATGTAAACATATTCATACATTTTTGAACCAATAATGAAACTTGAATAATTGTGTATTTAAACCACGGTCCATCAGTTGAACAGAAATATTTCACAAAATAAAAAAAATACGTTTTCTAAAATGTTCCAAACAAAAATTATACTTTTCAAATTTAATTTAATTTACATCATCTATAGTATTATTTGTCTCAAAAGGTATCTACAGTGAAAACATTGCAGTGCAATTAGAATATACTGTAGAACAAGGTTGCATAACAATTCAAATAATTTAACTTGAGTTTTGTTGTTGGTACTTTCATCTTTAAAAAGGATTCCATTAAGAAGTGAATCTAAAAATGTAACATGTGGATAATTGTTTAGTATTGTGCAGTAATCATAAAATGTTCTTGTTAAACGAAACAAATTCTATTGTTTATAGGCTCAAAACAAAAGATGGAAAATTAATTTTAAAAAATAATAGGAAGATTAATTGAGTATGCCTAAATTTATAATATTTACAACTCAATACAAACGTTGAAGTAGATTTCTAGTAGGTAATACGATGAAATATGAAATTTGAAAATCCAAAATGTAATATTCTGTTTGTGGGAGAAGTGTGAGCTTACCTTGTACATGTTGGTGGTGGTGTGAGTGACCAAATTGTCCGGTGTGGGGTTTATATAGGTTATGTCCTCTGTAAGGAGCTCCACCCAAGGTCCTGACTCCTGATCGCCCATTGGTCCGTCCTGAGTCCAGTGTCGACCTGCGCCCTGGTGAGTACCCTGCCACTTTACTCCTACAACTCACCACTTTACACGCTCAAGGGGGTGTTGGGGGTAGTTTTTGCTAGGGGTTGTAAATATGTTAAGTGTTTGTGTCGTTGTTAATCTTAGGAATTTTAAATTGAGGATGTAGATGGTAGGGAGGGATGAAGTGTTTTCTTTATTTTGTTTGTTTATAAAGTTTAGTAGTGGTATATCCAGTTTAATAGATTAATTCCATAAATCGCATTACATAAAAAAAGAACATTAAGTTTTGTGTATAGATGAGTTTCCAATATTCCTTAGCGTCTAAAGTGGTTACATGCAAATGTTATTAATCTATATAATTTCAGATTTCAAACAGGTAATAAGTAATGACGAAACCTTTTTGTTCATGTAGGATTTTGGTATATGTACCAATTTAATTTTATTACTTTATGAGAATTTAATTTGTATACTTCATGATAAAACATAATTAGCTATTACGGCCGAATCGTGTCGTTCTCAGTTATGAAATTGTTTGACCATGTGTTGCGTGCCTGAAGTGTGTTGTTTCAACCTAACATTTTTAGAATTCAATTATTCTATTTTTGTGGATTTTTCCCAATCAATGTGTTATGGTGTGTATAAATATATTTATTGTACACTAATATTCCTAAATAAAATTGCATTGATGGCTTTATACGCTTTATAATGCGTTAAAGCATAAAAATATGACAAAATATGGGAGGGGGGCTTATTATACGTTCACAAAGAGTCAGGATCTATTAATTATTAAATTAATATTATGATACAAAGAATTATAATTAAATGTTATTTATAGTATCCTTTAACTAAAATTTATTTTTATTTCACTCTTAATAGAGTTGGTAAATCAGGTAATTTAAAATCTTAACAAATAAATTATTCAGTAAGTGTCTTATTTTGACCTTTATTGACAAAAGCAAAGCATATTTCTAAACAGAATGTTATTATGTAGGCTATAGCTATATAAGCCATAGCAGTAAAAGATATAACAACAGATTGTTTTAAAGGTGGGTAACACACTCTTCAATTTCTTTTTCAAGCATGAAATTATTTTTTATAAATCCTAATAATCTGCGCAATTGTATAAACTGTTTATTTCTTTAACCGACAAAGGAAATTTTCTCGTAACTACCATTGCATTTGGTCAATTTAGTCTTAAATTTTGTGAAGTGGTGTTAAATTTATTGGTGAGGTTCTTAAACGTACTAATTATTAAGGTATTATTTCAGATGTATCCTATTTCAAAAATAATGTATATAAGAGAAATAAAAACCCTCAAGTATGAGTGTATGTCATATTAAACTAGTACAGCAGTACTCAATATGGAAACACAAAAAAACATTTTATCATATAAATTTGAAATAACAATTTAACCAATATTTTCAGAATTTTTAATTTCATGAGGCCTTTTGCCAGCAACCTACCACTACTAGCATCATCAGACACATCAAAAAACTGAAGGTTATGTTTATTTTCAGTTTTGTGATGTGTCTGATGATGCCAGCATAGCTGGCGAAAGGCCTCATGAAATAAAAAAATCAGAAAATATCGGTGAAGTTTTTATTTCAAATTTATATTCATTCCAATATTAACAGTTCTTCTTGAAGATTTTATCATAGTTATTTAATTCAGTTTTTTTATTAACACTTCCTTGGGTTGTAAGCAGTTTAAACATAATCTTATTGCTTATCAAAACAAACAATCTCAACATCCGACATCCTAAAATCATAAAAAAAAACGTTTCAAATTAATTATTTAGAACCTTAAATCTCGTAAAAAATACGTCAGTGACAGTTAGGAAATGACCGTGAGTGATAAGGAAGGACGACGTAGGATAGGCCTACCAAATATGCAGCCAGTCCTCAAGGTCCGCTAACTGGGGCAAAGTGACCTAGCGGACGGGTTCCTGACCGCGTGGTTACCGCACGGCCGATCAGTGCAATAAATATAAATCTAACATCGACATCACTGCAAAACAAACTGTAGTAGTATATAACAGACTTGAGCAATCGATAGATGGTCGTAGACATAACTAGCTACCTACAGAATGAATTAACTCGAGAGGTCTACACGTTTGATTGAATATCTCGCAAAGTTGCAGTCGACGGTAGAGCAGAAAAGATGAATATGACTTCTGCCAGTAATTTGTTGTTGTGGAGAAAATTAATCATATCTCCTGAGTACAGTAGTTTGTAGTTTGTTTGATAGGCGGTTCGACGGTTGCAACGTTGTGAAAAAAGAATAATAATTATTATAATATACATTATAGCCATTATAGCCAGCCTATACACTTAGGGATGTAGGTGTTGTCAATCCCTAAAAATAATAGTTTTGCACTTATTTTCATATGTACAGATTTAGTTCTTCTGTAAACATTTGTAAGCGTATGTTTACAAAAATAAGTGTGGTCGGTATCGAATACGCCCTAACGTCATTTATCCTAGGTTATGAAGGCCTAGAAAAAAAGTCTATTAGAGTCCGTTTAAACATGTTTATGACAAGTTTTATTTCGTTTGTTCTTTTATGTGTTTGGTAAGATTAATTTATTTTTCTAACAAAAACCTGTTTTGGAGAATTCGGGGAAATAGTATATTACGTTACTAGCCCGATAAGTGGTGTTTTACCGTGCGAGTACGGTAAAGAGTACCGGGCGAGTAACGTACGATACTTTACATCATAATACACAGAAAACTTAGTACATTTTAAACTCATAACACGATTTATTTAGGACATAACATAAATTATAATATTTTTATATAAAACAAATCAAATATGCCATTGCAATTAGCTGTTTATTTCATCAGCTGACCAAAAGCATACGTACATTACGTACATAAACGTAATAATGTACGGTAAACGTACATTACGTTAGTTTTCCGTGTGTATGCACGGCAAAGGGCAACTTTCCAGCCTATCAATACGGGCAATTAAAGGCAATTAAGAAGGTAAATTTTGAACAGACTGATGGGCATAAAAGACCAAAAAACTAAAACTCATAATCATTAGAGGAATTAAAAGTTTCTCACTATCCTTAAAATAGGGGTATAAACACACATTATGTCCACAACTGTTTCCTCCACTATTACAGTTTCCAAAAACAGACATTACACCTGAGTAAACGGTCAATTATCTTTACATCATCGGATGGACTTTAATGATGGGTGTGTTCCCGGGATGGGTCAATCGGAGCAGTGTTGTAAGATGTCCCCACCCCCGTTGCCAAGTAAACCAAGGTCTGCCAGTGAGGTGTACCACGCCCTCACACGCACACACACACACACACACACACACACACACACACACACACACACACACACACACACACACACACACACACACACACACACACACAAGGGGGCGGATCAGGTGACTTTGACAGTCGCGTTTAATCTCACGAGCCCCGTGACAAACTCTGAAGTGGTGGACCAATCAACACTCGATTTCCTGCTATTAGCGAGCTAACGAGACATCGTCAGGGATGAATTATGAACAGCTGATTTTGTATGTCACCAATCGATAGGCAACTTTGATATCTTAATATTTTGGGTTTGTTACTACTCTAGTGGAGCGAGCTAATAGTGGTCCACTCTTTCTTTAGGTCATGCCGTAAGCTGCAGTAAAAACTTTGAACAGCATTGGAGTGATTTCAGTCCCATAGGTTATGATTATCTCTACAATTAACCGATGTATCAATTAAATGTTTAATAAATTAAATCAATTAAATAGCTTTAGTTAAGTGTACCCGTGACCCTCTAGGTTTCTGGTTTAGCCTGAAGTAATTTGTTAAACAGTTCCGGGCTAGAGAATAGACCCGGATATGAAGGGAGATCATAACAATTTTTATATCCACAGTAGAATTTCGTATTTTGGCACGAGATATACGACGTAGGCCTAAATATACAGAATTAAGCAAATAGAAGTTTAATTTGATAAAATCTTGAATTTTTAATTCGTATAAATTTTACATGCACAAGAAAAGAAGATTTCAGTAACATAAATAGGCCAAGAAAATAGATATTTGGTTCAGAATTTAATTATATAATATCAAGGATATCAGAAGAATTAATTTTCTGAAAATTGAAGTTCACGAATAACTATTTCGATTCTGGAAACGTATAACTTATATTTAAGATCATAAACAGTGTGTCGTGGGAGAAATTATCCACAAAAACATTTCGTGGGAAATAAAAAAAGTTATTTTACAAATGCTAGCGACGGATTTCATTCTGAAATTGTTTGTAAAATGTTATACTTAGGTGTTTAAACAGTTCATTTTGCCTATTCACTCAATTCGCCGGGATGGTGTAAATCAACTCTAATATGCTATGGTAAATTTTAAAATAATAATCCAAATTTCCAAATGTTGAAATGAGAGTAACTTAATCAGTCAACATTGTGTCACCTTGTTCCAGTTAATGATATACTAGCAATTGTGGAAATGAGAAATGAAAACTGTAGATAAGACACTGGCAAGTCGCCGAAGTCCAGTAGCAAGGTTGTCGCAGTAGAGGACCTTGTTGACCTTTTTAAAGGAGGTGAAGCTATTGACCTTCTTCTCAGATTCCTCGGATAACTAAGTATACGAGGCAGTATGCGGCGTGCAATAACACGCGCGTGTGAAAGAGGATGAGCTAAAATTTCACCACTGATTGGGAAACACCTGAGGTGGGGATTTGACGATTTTGTCTGTACTCAATGTGAAAATGCAATATTTTAACTAAACGCACGTTTGAATAACACATTAATGAAAAGACTTCTTGATTGAGGCGTAGGCGCTATAGTTTTTCTACAGTTAATCTGAATCTATGTTTCATGGTAGGATGATTGATAGAGTTAACATGTGTAAATTGGAGGAAGAACGTTCCATATAAGCTAATAGTAGCTATATCCAAACACTAATTAGGAAAGCAGGGAGTGCATACGATTTCGCCTATCGTTCTTTTGGTCAGTGAAAAAAAGGTAAACTGAAAATTACTTTTGGCTTTCGCACTAACCTATGGCTATATTTAAAAAACTCTCCATTATCCACTTGGGAAAAATTTTACGAGTATATTAACATTAGTATTATTAACGTTACTTTCGTATCTTCAATACAACATTCCCATGGATGTTTACCAGTCGATTTATGATTAAGATTATGATGTTTAATAAATTAAACTGTCACCGAAGTGTTTATATTACGTTTAATTGAACATTATTTTCTTCAATAGTCATAATTGTCAAGTTTTACACAATTTTCTGTCTTATCCATACTGATCTATTACTGGAACAGGTCGATGTAAGTAAGAACTCAGTAACATGTGTTAAATAATTGAGTAAGTCAAATCTTCAAGAACAGGGTCATGGTTGTAATGCTAAGATACCGATAACACTTTACCTGGTCACACCCGGTTGACATTCAGACGCCGACCACGCTTTTATCAAGATCGGACACCGTTTTGGACTGTACAGATAGTAAGACAGAAAAACATTTACGATTGGTTAAAACTGTAACCTACATTATTTAAATGTGGCTTTCCTGTAGGGTAGGGTAGACAATTTCAACGTTGAAGCACACACAACACACATTAAAGTATTACTAGTGTACCTGTTGCTGAAATTCGAACAATTGCGAAGTATTACTGGGGTTATTTTTAAACGAACAAGGGTCATAATTTCAGCTGACTTTAAAGAGTCGACTCTAAGATTATGGAAATACTCACGATGTACATAACAGTTCAATATAATCGACATTTCTTGTAAATATCTTATAATTTTTCAAAAGCTGGTCTTGTTTTTTGTGTTTACTACAAATTTTATTCAATCATAGCCACATTAGGTTGTCCATAATATGATTATAAATTGTAAAAAAAAACATTATTTCTATTTCCTCCACTTGGTGTTGTTCTATGCCTTTCCTATGTTTCCATAGTTAGCAAATCGGCTATTTCAATGATTGTTCAAAAAATCCAGCACAGTGTTATTTCAGTTTCCTTTTTAGTATATCAAACTGTCTAGGGTTCCTCAACTTTTTCCATTGTAATATTTACGCCAACCTAAATTCAAATAGTAAATATTTCATTTCAACCAAGTCAGCAAATATTTGCAGCCCACGTTTCCTTTTTAACAGCAATTAAATCATCAAACTGATCATTATGTAAACAAATATTTTCTTCATAAGGATAACATGGGAACTTTAAAAGCCACTAGGGCAGAGTCCAGGGGTCTTTTTCAAAAATGTAAGAACAGTTTGCAAATTTACACACCTAGACAAATATGCTGGTATTGTAATATGTGGGGTTAAATCTTAAAACAAAAAAGCCTTATTGTTTACCAAGTTTCATGTAGCGTATTAATAATATAGTTTGAGGCTTTTATAGATTGAGGAAGAACAATAAATATTTAAGTATTAATCCAACAGAGAGTAATTTTCTGATACTCCTTATTGATTGATAAGCCAGCCATAAATTGCCTCATCGGCCACACATGTCTGAGAATGTAGTTCTAACTTTGTTGTATTCCTCAATATAAAATCGCACAGCCAATCAATCTTATTGTCCGACTCATTGTAAAGCGACCACCCGCGAGTAACCACAAAGCGATGGCATTGAAGGCCGATGTCCTCTCCTCCTCCTCGCCACCCACAAAGCAATTGTCACACGAAATAAAGACGATGATGAATCAGACAAACTTCATAGCAATAGTGTCTAGTACGTGAATCTTGAACTATATGTGACATTTATAGGGATTACGAGAACTCGCCCCGTGGTCTAAAACACGACCAAAAGTACGTATTGTGCAAACTTCTCTATTTTCAACCCACGCTGTAAATAAAAAGGGGGATTGGAATTTCTTTAATTTGTTTTGATTTTCTTTTTATATTTTTTTGTTATTTCGTCACCAACATGGCAACCCATAAGGCCCATGTTAATTTTTTTTTAAATTTAAAATTCATTTATTGTGCTTATTTTTGAGCATAATTTATAAAGGGATTCTGTGCATCTACAGGAAAATATCTTTTATTTGGTACCAACAGCCTGTAGTTTGGTCCAGTAGAATGGTCAGGCTAGCTGTCATAAGTTTTGCAAAAGTGTTTTATTATGTAAGATAATAATGAAACTGGAATAATATTTAGAAGAAGCTGTGGCTAATGTTGTTGACTAGAACAACTACCCAAGGAAACATATCCCCAACCAATTTTAAATAACACACCTCAGCCTAGAAAATATTTCATAAAAAAAAAAAATAAAAAATAAAAAAATTTGGCGCAACACAAAAGGCATAATGTGTCTTATGGTTGTAGATTAATGAGAGACTTAATACAATTATAGCTTTGAAAATTATATCACTCGTTATTAGATGTGCGGTAATTCGAAATAGTTCATGAGAATTATAAGAAATTCACTTCAGTTTTTTCTCCGAAAATATTTTTTTGAACAGGATTAGTAGGCTAAGTACCAAGCCTACAAAAAGTTTGCATTAATAATAATATTTAGCTAGTGTATTCAATGCGATAATTTTCCTCAAGTGTGCCATTTTATGTCAACGCCATATGTTAAAACCATGATGCCATGATGTTAAAAGAAACTATTTTGTGTCATTCAAAAATTGAGCCCCACTGTTAGCAAAACAACATTATATGAACATTCATTAATGTTTAAAAGTAATGTTTTTACAATAATTTACTGAGAAAATTTAAAATGTAAATTTGAAAGAAAGTTTCTTAAGTGGCGTTTAAGTACGTGTTTGAATGAAATAGTAGTTTTAGCAAAATATGATATGCATAGATACCACTGAATGAATACCTTTAAAACACCAATTTTAAATATACTAATGCCATATTTATTCCATGGGACATCATCTTTCAGTAATCGTACTGATAGTTTCGCACACATTTCACCAAACAACACACATAACCAAACATTTTGACTTGTAAGTAGGTAAGTATTGTTAAAATCGAAAGAGTAAACATGTGTTAACCTAGATCGGAATACAACACTCGTAAAACAATCACATGATCTAGAAACATGAGTAAGCGACATGGAGTATCGTTTAGCAGAGCACAATGGAAGATATGTCAGTGGTCAGCTGGTCAGTGCTGGGCGGGTCCAGCATGATATCATCTGACATTTACCTGATTGCATTTATTAAATGCACCTAATCCAATTATAAGGCCACCATCGCGTTGTACCCAATATCGGAGTTAATTACTACTCTAATAGTTTATATGTTGTGTTAATATATACTGGGTAGGAATATAATATAGCAGTGGTAGGTTTGTCCGTACTTCTTAGCGGGGTATGGTTTAACTGAACAATTAGTCTTTTAGAGATAATATAACTTACTATAAAACCTAGCTATAGAATCAACATTGATATCGTGTTAGTGATTTCATTAGTTTGTAAGCTTCATGGATAAAAATAAATAGGACAAATGAAAGTAAGATACTAAACAAACATACACCATTATATTGTTTTTATTTAACCGTATAAAAGTAAAATAATAAATCGTTTCAAGAATTTTGAACAAAAAACTTAAACATTGCAGTTTTAGTTGTGTTTTCTTGGAACCAATCAACATAATATGTATTATGGTATATTATACCACTCTGAGGCAATACATCAAAATGGAATATGCCTAAAACTTTCCTCGATTATTATAGTAGTTATCGTTGTGTAAAATCTCAGTTCGTAATGGAAGGTGAGCTAAACCACACACCTCATTTTTAAGATATAGGTAAAAATATAATACAAATTGAGGTGGATTGTGTGTGATTCGAATTGAATAACTTCCTTGTAGGGAGACAGATTCAAACTGAAGAATATCGAGATGAATAACTTCACGAGGGTTTCAGCTCGCAAATCATACAAAAAGAATTAATTTGTCAAAGATATACTACTTGTTTGATTATTCATCCACGCAGACTATAGCTAATGAATAACCACATTATGTAGTTTTTGGTAGTGTGGTCTTGTTGCACCAAGAAGGTGATTTTTGTATAGATTTAATGAATGGACGATTATTTTGTATATATTCTGTTTGGTAATTTATATAGATTCAAATGAAAAAAAAACCTTAACACATAATAAATTACGTATTTGTTTATTTTGTTGGAAAAATGTCTGACACACAATATGACGACATAAGTCAATCTGTGTCAATTAATTAGAAACAGAAAAAAACTCTTAACCTACCTCTTTCCCAACTTACCTAACTACTGTACATCTGTAACGTTTATTGATCATAAAACCATTAATGTGTATTATACTTTTAGATGTTTCCCCCTAAATGAATAAACCCTAGATCGTTAAATAATCTAATATGATAGGGGAACTTTTCAACTTATTAGACCCAGTCAAGAGTATTTAGTCAAATAAGCTACTCTAAAAATGTACTAAAATTATTAGTTAAATGGTTACTGATACTTTACGCTAAATATATTGGGTCCAAAGTGACAAGAAAGGAAACAAACACGTATATCATTCGCAAAACATTTAATAAATAGTCAGTCAGGCACATTCACACTCTAGACTACTCGAGGTCAACGGAAGAGCTCGGCTTGAGACTCGGTGGTGATGACGGGGGTGACGGACGCTACGGGAGGCACGGGGCCGCCGTGGGCAGCCGGCGTCTTCTCTACGTGCGCGTTGAACCCATTGACGGGGTCAGCGGTGTAGGAAACAGTCCGGACGGAGCCGTCCGGCTCGGCCAGGCTGTAGCGTCCGGAGAGAACTCCGTCCTGAAGACTCTCCTCTTGACTCTTCACATCACCAGTGGTAGCGTCGTTCACGCCGTAGGAGAAGTGGTAGGAAGGGTTGGGATCAACGGGTTCAGCTTTGGCGAGGGCTACCGGGGCAGAAGCGACGACTGGTGCTGGGGCGTGCGCGACTACGGGGGCGTGTGCGACCACGGGGGCGTGGGCAACCACTGGGGCCGGAGCGACGTATCTAACCGGAGCAGGGGCAACATAGCGAGGAGCTGGAGCGACATAACGTACAGGAGCAGGTCCGGTGGCGTAGGAAACAGCTGGAGCGACCGCAGCGTACCGGACTGGAGCGACCGGAGCGTGAGCTACGTATCTGAGAGGAGCTGGAGCGACGTACTTGAGTGGAGCTGCTGGCAGTACAGGGGCGTGATACGTGACAGGAGCATGGTAGGCTACTGGAGCGTGGTGGGCGACTATGGGGGCTGCGGGGGCAGCGTAGGTGAGCGGCGCGGGGTGGGACGTGTAGGCGTAGGACAGTGGGGCTGGGGCGGCGTAGGATGCGGTCAGAGGAGCGTACCCTGCCTGGGCAGCGGCGGCGACGGCCAACACAACGCACAGCTGTGGAACAATAAACATGACAAAATATATTTACAGCTTGTCATTTACCTAAGATAAATTAAATTACCATGGTTAGTCGTGATAAAATACGAATTTAATATAATTTGAATACGATATTTTTAATTGGAACTGAAGATTAACTTTAATGTAAATATTTGACGCTTACACTATTAAAAAAAAAAACCATAAATCCTATCAACTAGTTTTGTTCCCAGAATGATCTGTAGTTTTATATTTGAACTACAGTACAATGGTTCTAAACATACTTCAATTTTGGCGGTTTAATCAATAGCTGAAAATGAAATGTGTTTTTCTCCAAGAAACATAAACTTATACTAATGTTACCATATTAACATAATTAGTATTTTACCTACTGTAATCCAATGTAAACCAGTGTGGCATTTAACAAAAAATGCAAGTCTTTAAGGTAGGTGTTTAATGTCATTAATCATTGACTACCTTTCTATTTTTAAAATGTTCGGGTGTAATCGAGTGGGCCGTTCATTTTAGCTACATTTGTCAGTACCAGGAAAAGTACCATAAATAGTTCCTCATAATTCTACCGTGAAAGTATAATTTAGTTAGCTTACAGTAATTATTGAGTGAAAAAAACTAAAACCCCCATTTAGAAAACAGTATCAGCCTCGGAATATAGCAGTAATTTCCAGTATGGATAGTTAAAGAGCTGGATAATTTTTAAAAACAAACCGATAGCGCAAACTAAAACATCAATGAAAATAAAATGAGCTTACTTTTGAAAAGAGTCACACATAGGGGAAAACTATATCGCTCTACAAAAATTACAAGTATGAATTCAAATTCAAAATATACTATAATTTAAAATATATTGAAATATATAAATAAAAAAAATATTTTAATATAGGCTACTGAATTAACCTAACACCTATTTATAGGTAACCTAAAATGACTAATTTATTCTAGTAACCATATCAAAGTACATATTAACGGCCTATGTGTACAAGTTGAAAGTCGTAAACATTTTTAAATTCGAAAAAGCGTTTAAAGGAGCTACAACCTATACAAACCTATACAATATAGCTTCTACGTATATCATAAAAAACCCCCTAGTTCACGGGACGACCAACTTAAACATCACAGTGAGAAAAATATATAGTCTAAAATAGTAGGTTCGTTTTGAATGTAATCACATTGGCCAATATAACTAAGTTGCTTAAAAAATGTAATATTAATGAAAAAATAAATTAAAAATCCTATACAATGTCGGATGGCTACGAATGCCTATTTTATTGGTTTGGCAAAAGCAACGTACATAGAAACGACTTGTCCTTCCACAAAAATCGTATAATTTTACAATAGTGAGTAAACGGTTTGAAATAAAACTTCTTATGGAAAATTTTACCCGGTTTTGCAACCCATACAATATCATTTGAAACTACGCACTAATTTGAGGGAAAAATCGTAGAGGATACAGTAAACCGTCGGTCCCAATTAAAGATGAGCAACAAAATAAATAAAACACATTCCACCATCAAATCACTACCAACAAAACCACTACTCTTAAAAATAGTGGCAACAATTATTTTTAGAATGAAGATCCTACATCAAATCGGGTAACGCATATCTGTAAACTAAGTTAATTTTCGTAACAATAGCAGTGTTCATAAAAAGGTCCTATTGAGTTTCCACCGTAAAATCGTATAGTTGAATAACAATGCGTAAACAATTTTTAAATCAGAAAATGCTGAAAAAGCTACAACCTCAAACTTATACCTATGCACCTTATGCATCGTTATATAAAACTATTAAAACACCACGGTATGAAAGAGTACAAATTTCTTTTAAATAGTTCCATTGAACTACGTAAACAATTAGAATTTTGAACAGTAACGACGTTAAAAAAAATCCCGTCCATTCGCCAACCACTCACAACCAACTAGCACAGCACAACACTACACGTCACTTCACTACACTAGACTCAAGCGGCTTACCTGAATCATACTGAGATGTGTAATGTCCCAGTGGAGATCCACCCTTATATACATCAGCTGATCTGGGCTAGGGCCTTATACAGGCTAGCAGTGTCGACTGGTACAAACCTTCGCACGGGCTGAGGAAGACACCGGCTGGACACGTAGGAATCCCGTAATGGAAGCGCTCGGTACTCGAAAACGCTCGAAGGCCTGCAGGGCCTTGGATGCTTGCGCTAGAATGGGATTTGATGGGGTCAGCTGTGTGGATCGGGATGGACAAATATTTCGTGTTGCAGGTGATTTCGCAAGTCGGGGTTTCATTCGTAAAAGTACGGTTGATTGTGATTATGAACCACAGTAAAAGGTCAGTAATGTTCAATTAAGATTTAAGTTGAGATCGATCAACCAAATCTATGGTGTTCGTTTAGGTTACGTTTCGAAAGTATATGATCTAATCAAAATGTATACATTAGTGTTGTCTTAGTCTGATATAGTTAGTAAACAATAATTCGTTGTGTCTATCTAAAAAAAAAATGTTTGCGATCAGGGAGTTAATGATAATGTAAATGGACAAACGAATGCTATTTATGTTCATACAGGGTGAATAAAAAGTCAAGGCCCCCCCCCTCTAATATTTTTCCCATTAAATATACAGAGATATCCTTTTGGTGGTCGTGCAATCTTAGCAGAAAGTTTCATTTGATGATTTTGAAATATTTGAGTTACCCCCCAAATCCCCCCTTTTGGTGGGGCACTCAAAAATTTCAAAATCATAAAATGAAACTTCATGCTAAGATTGCACGACCACCAAAAGGATATCTCTGTATATTTACTTAGACAAATTTTAGAGGGGGGGACTTGACTTGTTATTCACCCTATATAAATACTAGATGTACATTGTACAATGCAGTTGTCTGCCTGCAATATTGAGTGGAGCTACCACATTTATCCAATAATTTTCCAAAGTCAATGCTACATCTTGTTAACATAAATGAGAAATCTACTTGCAGTGTATATCAATAGTATATTTGTATTGTGTAGTCAATTTATTATTTGGTTCATATAAATGGAATGCCTATTTGCAGTATCCAAAGACATTAGTAAGTCTGGTTCAGGTAAATGGAATGTATTCACGTAAACCCTTAACGTTTAAGGAACGTAGAGGAAATAAATAGTTTCCATGTATGTTTTCAGTAAGGCTGTTGGCTTTGATTTAGAGATCAATATTTTTCATGAGTTTAAAACGTGAGCTGGGTACCAAAACCAACGGTTTCAAACTTCCTAAAGGTATTCAAGAACATCGAAGGTTCAATATAACATCAGAATATTTTTTCTTTTTGAAATATATTATATGGTTGAATTGAACCACTGGCATAGGTAGTGATTTTACTAATATTATAAAACTGAAAGTTTGTGAGTTTGTGTGTGTGTGTTGCTCAATCACGCATAAACTACTGGTCGGATTGGGCTGAAATTTGGCATGATGATAGCTCACATTCCCGATTAACATTTAGGCATATTCTTATCTCAAAAATCCTTTCGGGTTCCACCCCAGTGGCTCTGTAGTTCCCCATGTTAACCTTATGAGTATTCATATTTAAAGGGAATTAAAGAATTAAGTAAGCTGTTTCAACTGAAAAAATTGGTTCTATGATATGCAAAAGCATTAAAAGTTATAAGATTTACCCACGATTACTAGAGAAATACCGGTATGGATCATAAACATAAACAAACGACGTTTTTGGCCCGAAGATACACATTATTTAACATTGCTTAAATGGAGCTTCCAAAACATATGTTCAATCCTATTATTATAGGATTCGGGCCAACAACGTCATTTGTTTATGTTTATGACCGGTATTTTTCTAGTATTCGTGGATTTACCAACAGGGTGCAGCACTATAACTTTTTCTGCATTTATGAAAACAGCTAATTTGAGCCATTGACTATTTGAACTAAGCAGCAACAAAAAAAAACTGTGATACGCATTGAGAACTGTCATAGTTGGACTCTTTACAGTTATGTTTATGTTTTTAATTTCATGAATAATTTGTGATATTTTGCAAATTTTTATAATTTTTTCTCTGTTGTTTAGGTGAAGTGGTAGAACATTATGGCTATGGTAGATGTGTAATACTAAAGACTACCGTAAATTTACAGAAGCAAATATTATAAAAATGTGTCCTCCCCCATTGCAAACGCAAAGCTTGAGTATTAACTGCATTAAGCATTTTATACTTGTATGCCAACCCCGTACGAAGGACGGGTACTCTGCTAGTCTTTTAATAATTTTAATCTCATAATAATTGCTTTCTGTGAAGTACTTAAATTATTAACAGAATAAAATGAGGGGTGTACTATTGTAAAAAAGTTTATTGCATATTTTACGCCGATGTAGCTGCTGAATAAATCTTCACCGTATCGACGAGTGGAGTAAGCATATAGGGAAGCAGAGCGAGTGCCGTTCTATTTTTTGCCGTGGGGGTCATAAACTGTCAAAACCGTCATGTAGGCCCGAGTGCCGTTTGACTCTCCCGAACAAACTCTCCCGACTGATTCAGGGGAGGGGTGTAGTGGACAGGATGTAACAGAGACCGGGTACAGTTTCCTAATTGGGCTACCCTAATATAGATTGAAAATATCAATTCGATTAGTAAACCTTTACTATTTTTTTCATAATCAGCAAGTTTGGTTTGGTAAGGTCAGGCTATAAGTTTACCCTCAAAAACGTTTTGCTCATCCTGTCCCCTGGCCGATATTTCCACCCCCATACCCACCGCACCATACCGGTTACTTATTTAGATATCCCAAGAACAAAACAACCTGCGCAGAAACGAAAAGATCACGTGGTTGACGCCGGTAGGTGTGGCGTACCATTCAAACCTGCGCGGCTCGAAATGGCCCAGGGTTCTTTTGTTTCTTTTCTGGGATGTCAATACCTGGCTGGCACTCGCACCGCCAAGCCTCAGGCTGTAAAATGACCCTCGTCAAAGTTTTCATGCAACAGGCACTCAGCCCTACACTCAAGAATATATGACTCTGGCAAGCAGCACACTCCTCGGGTGGCTAATCGGTTTAATATAAAATTTGTCTACGGATGGTCCACATGTATGCCTACTTCAGTATTAAAAATTTAATGATAAATTATCAACACTTTAATGATATTGCATGTGGCTTTTTACGTTTGAGCCATGGGTGTATGGGATAGAATGAAAGCTCTTAACTCTCTTGCCTGTGTCTGTTGTTGGTTGGAAAAATACACCCTAAGGTGGTAACGTTCCTAATTCGTGGAGAAACATTTACATCAAATTAGTAGATTAAAAGGGCGTATCCCTCCAGAATGAAGAACGTATTCTCTACAGAAAAAATCCATTTACAACAAACCACAGTATAAAAAACTACCCCCGCCACAGCAAACCTACAGACTAAGCAGATTTTCATTTGGCTGATGATCTTAAAATATCTTAAAAGAAAATTGGATTTTCTCCCGTTTAAATAACATTAGGTTCAACGAGTACTTGGGTTTTATGCTACAGGGAAAGAAACAAGGCTTTTTTAATCTTGATAGTATAAACGATGAATAAATTTGCCAAATCTGATAAAATGACTATTTTTAAGCAAGAAAGCTACAACAGAGTTTATTTTTAAAACGTTTTATTAGCTCGCTTTCTTGTCCGGTACAAATTTTGCTAACAATTTTATACTAACTTCCCGATAAGCTAGAGGCTTGAAACTTGAAACATAGCTCACAAATGGAAGACAATGCAATATTATATAATTTAATTTTCATATTTCACTTGGGCTACGCCCCACGGGTTTGTTTTTATTAACTCGCTTTCTTGAAAATTTTGATACTTCCCGATGAGCTAGAGACTTGAAACTTGAAACATAGCTCACAAATGGATAACAATGCAATATTATATCATTTAATTTTCATACTTCCCTTGGGCTACGCCCCATGGGCTTGTTTTTATTAGCTCACTTTCCTACAAATTTTGATATCAATTTTAAACGAAGTTCCCGATGACCTAGAGACTTGAAATTTGAAACATAGTTCAAAAGTGGATGACAATGCAATATTATAGCATTTAATTTTCATATTTCCCTTGGGCTACGCCCCACTGGCTTCCAAATTTTCCATGTTTACATTTTGAAAGAATGTAAATATATCAATTAATTAAAGTCAGCAGTAAATACTTAAATTTGACAGTTCAAAACAGGTTCTGCTCCCAAGAGATTCTTTATACAAACAAACATTTCAAAATATAGATAGATAAACAATCTGATTGCAGCTATAAAGGTAAGGGTAAGGTAAGGGTGGGTATAAAGGTGTTTGTTAACAATGTCATTTGTTATTTATTTAGTATTCTATAAAGTAAACAATAAATTAAATAGATTGATATATTTATAGTTAGAAGGTATACATTTAATCTAATACATAATTATATGAAAATAAACTAATATAATTCTTAGATTTCCCACATGCCTCTGTCTTAATCTGATATAAATGCATGAAATAGATTTAACATCCACACACATTAAAAACTAAAAAGTAGAAAATAATTTATAAATAAAAAACTTTTTTAAAACAAAACGTTTTAAAATGTACTAAAAAGTAGAAAATAATTTATAAATATGTGGAGAGTATAAATACTTGTAAGATTTAAAACGAAAAACGTGGGGTGCATGCAATTGATAATGATACATTAGTTCAATAGGTGAAGGTAATTGTAAATTATCTATTGCATGCACCCCACATTTTTCGTTTTAAATCTTACAAGTATTTATACTCTCCACATATTTATAAATTATTTTCTACTTTTTAGTACATTTTAAAACGTTTTGTTTTAAAAAAGTTTTTTATTTATAAATTATTTCTCTATAAAAACATAGTATTTTTAAAAGTACAGTTTTTTTAGTTTTCTCCGTAACCTTTATCGTACACCAACCCTTCAACATATGAAATAATTTTTCTTTTAAGCTCTACACGATGGTTGTTATTAAAATTCTGCATTTTATTGATTATTTTGACAGAATATCTCCAACTG